TCTACCAAAAAAATGTATCATAATTGACTTCCTTAGAACTTTTGACAGAAAAAAAATGGTTTAAAGGTCCAGTACTATACAGGAACATCAGCAGTAACGTTGAATAGAATTAATTTGAAAATTAAAAAAAAAAATACAAACACTCCACAAGCTCCGTTTGTTGAATTGACAGCTTATAGTAAAATATAAATACGTTTTTTTTTTAAAAAAAACTTTTAAAACAGATACATTTTCACTTTATGCAACAGCCTTGCATCGCTTTGGCTGCCATCTTGTTCCGCCATGTTTGTTTGTCTGCCCCAACGGACAAACCAGAGAGTGCGTGTACGTAACTTTGTCAAAAGATGGTCATCTATGCAAAAAAAAAAAAAGTACGTCCAACAGTTAAGACCTGTTTAAGTTCATCTTGAGTTGTACGTAGAGCAAGTATTTAGTTTTGTACTTTAACTGTTAACACTGGACGTTAATGTCTGTGCGAAACATAACATGATTTCGACAACCTCCCTGTTTTTGCACCTTTAGGCGTCACTGTGGAATAGAAAGTCTTAAAATACGGTGCACATTTTTTAACACACAAGTAAGGTGAAATGGAAGTGAAAGTTGGTCTTTTCCTACACAGTTTATAGAAACTCAAAAGTGATTTAGCAAATTTATAGAAATGAAAAGTCTCGCAATGTGCCTTTAGCTGTTCAGGATAAAAATGGATGAAATGACGTGTGTTACGAAAGCATCAAAATGACGGTGAGTGCAAGGAGCAAATTTAAGAAGAACTCACTATTGTTGAAGTAAAAAAGGCCGTGTCAACATGTCAACATGTCAACACGGAGACGGAGACTTTTGTCTCATCTTAACGGTGTCTCGTTCGTTCGATTTCATGTTACAGCAGTGGGCTGAAACCCAACACGCTTTGGTTTACTTTGGAGTATTGTCGCAGATTTTGGCAGTAAACGTCATGCACTTTTGTAATGTGTAGAGTAGAGTCTATTGTTGCAGTGAGTGAAAGTTGGGGGGGGGCTGAGGAGGGGACCTCTGCTTCATAACATGTGCCACAACATAGCAGCAGCAGCAGCAGCAGCACTAAGAGGAGGAGGAGGTGGAGGAGGAGGTGGAGGAGGCCCAGCTGCCTCCTGTGTCAGAAGTCGGGGTTCCATCAGACTGTGTTTGTGCACAGGTTTTGATTAGTTTGTAAAAGGCCTGAATGGGAAATCTAAGGAAAACATATCAGTAAAATCAGGTACGTTTTTATGCAGATAAAAAAAATGGACATCTCCAGGTTAATGAGGACAAAATGCAGAAAAGAAAAAAGATGAGGTTTTGACATAAACATTTCATCATCTTCTAGATATGAATGAATATTGTCTTGATGTATTGTAAGACACAACAACCATGCAATTTAGAAAAAAAAAACCTCATTACAACTTAATGCTTTTATGGTGACCACAACTTTGGAGCCACCTACAGCTTATCTTGTGAACTACTTCCCAAATTTACACATTAAAAAACCTTTTTTTCTACCACATTTTAAAGACTTTAAATTGCAGTTCTAGCCGTGGATCAACTTTCCAGGGTTTTGAACCGATACTCTCTCGGTCCAAAACATCAGGTTCTGCAGCAAATTGTAGCTGTGAGCCCATAAGTGGATCGGTTCTGTGGTTCTGTGGTTCTGTGGTTTAATCTGTTCTAATGAGGCAGCAACGCAGCAAACATAGTTTTCTACTGATAATGAAAACTGAACACAGAGATTACTACACAAACACACAAACAAACACACACACACACACACAGTGTGTCTGGACCTTGGTCGGAGACAGTGTGTGATGCAAAGTTGCATAAGTGCCTGTGCTGTAGATGTGCTGATAACAGAGAAGATCAGCTTCGTATTAGGAGCCGTGCGCTTGACAAACAAACCTCCAAATGTTTTTTTTGTTTGTGTTTTTTTTGCAGAACCGACTAAAATTAGGAAACATTTTTAAAGACTTTGCTCACACTGTCAAACATCTTGGGTCAATTCTTACCGACATTTTGGAAGTCTTTTTTTTTTTTTTTTTTTTTTACCAAATTTGTGCATTGATCTGAAGTCTGAAGTTCCTCTGGTCAGTCAGGAAAGTATGCGAACTCCCGGCTGGTAGTTTGAATAGTCCGGTTTAATTCTGCCCCTGGAGGAGGGGTCATTTTGATGCTTCATCGCCGTGAAACCTGATACTTTCCTATAGTTTATGACAGCTGACCCAGCACAGCTCTGGTACCGTTTGTAGTTCTTGGCACTTATTCCTGTGTTGGAGACTTTTCTTTCTTCCTGCTACTAGTTCCTGCAAATCACACCACTAACCTAGTAACAGGTTACGATTTACCCATTATTAATTTATCAATTAATTAATCATTTGTTTTCTTTCTCTCCCTCGTAAAAGTAAAAGTACAATCCTAGTAACAGGTTACGATTTACCCATTAATAGTTTATTAATTAATTAATAATTTGTTTTTTTTCTCTCCCTTGTAAAAGTACAACCTGATAAATAATGATTTTTCAAAAAAAACAAAAAAACCCAAATCAATCTGAACCCATAAAAAGCACAGCTACACCCTGTTTACCTTCAGTGGCTGAAATACCTGTGAGTAAATCACGGTGCAGCAGCGCGGCTCCGTGTGCACTGACGAGGCTTCCACTGCAATGATAAGGATTATACTTAAGTAATATGGCTGCTGCTGCTGCTGCTGCTGCTGCTGCTGCTGCTGCTGCTGCTGCACGCAGGAAGAATGATGGCAGTGAAGGCAGCGCTGCCGTAACAGGACGGGCAGTAACAGGGCCCCGCACGGCTGCTGAGGTGGGTACTGCAGTAATAAGGCCGACCCTGCAGTAATAAGATGGAGACTGTTGAGCAGCCGCTGAGCAGGTGATGCTGCTGTAGAGCTGTGGCACTGGCTCTTTTTTAAAAATTAATTTTTTATATATATACATAGAAAGACAAGGTGTAACGTGTGTAGCACTGACCTGTGCCTAGATACAGACATGTCTGTTGACCTCTGATTAATCCTAACCATCTCTGTAGTTTTTAGTCACTGTAATTATACGTCATTGTATGTTTTTTTTTTCTAATTATACGTCATTGTATGTTTTTTTTCCTTGAGTCTGTAGTTATTTAAATAACAAATAAATGAAGCCTGTAGCAGGTCGTGTTCACCAACCTGTGACTGTGAATTTACTTAAGAACACACACTACTGTCAGCGCTCTGTTCTGATCGACTTGTAGTGTTTCCTAAAGTGGCTGCTCACAAATGTGATTCTATTTTTACTACCGTAAAACACACATTTGTAATATATAGTTTTTCTCTCGTGAAGTCGCTCTGATCTTTACTCTGACTTAACATGTTGACATGATGTATTTGCAATGATTTCCTCCTTTAGAATCCTTCATCAGAAGAGATATCCAAAACATGAGTCAGTACCAATGTCTGAGTCCTGGGTCTTCATTTGCTGAGTTAAAGGACAGGGTGGTACCAGCTGCGTCCAGTTCTGGACCGAGGCAGATGCAGGGAAACTGAGACCCAGGGACAGAATGCAGATGTTGTCCACTTCTGGCAACTAGGCAACAGACAGACGTACGTTTGTCCCAGAGTCTTATGTGGCCCGCATTTCAAATTGACAATTAAATATCGTTCAACAACTCTTTTGTTTTTTTTTTTATCAAGCATTGAAAAAAAGAGTTCATCTGGTACTGTGTCGTCTGTTCACTGCCCCCCCTCCATGACTTCCTGCCCCCCCCCCCGTCGTTGGTCCTTTTCATCAGTGTCATTGTGCTTTACTATAAGTGAGAAAAAGAGTCGTTTTACAATCAAACTTTTTCTTTGTTTTGACAGTTATTCTCCCAACAGCGGTGACTGATTGATGGAATCCACAGTCTTATGCAGCAGAGAGGCTTTTGTAACCTGTATTAGTCATTATGTAAGAGATCGTAGTGAATTCCTGGTCTGATAACCAACTGACTTTGTCATGTGAGCGTTGGTGGTGGAAAACACACACAAACACAAACCTTGTTTTCTTGATGCTGATTGGCTCGGCTATTCCTGAGCTAATAAAAAAACAAAACAACATGTCGAGCAGATTTTTATGTGATAGTCACCAATGTGCAGCAGCAACACTGGATTTATCAAACTCAAATTTCATTAAACAAAAAACATGTCATTTCTGAAAAATCAACACGTTCCTGTTTCTAAGAAAAAAATAGCAAAAGTCAGCAGTTTTTATTAATTTGTTTTTAGAGAAAAGGCGTTGAAAAGATAATTCTCAGGTGAGTTAATCTCACGTAGTACGAGCAGAGAGAGCAGTCGAGGCAGGAGCCGGTTGTAGGAGCAGTGGAAACAGAAGAAGTGACTGTCGTCATGGTGTAACTGTATCGTGTGTGAGAGGAAGTGCCGCTGCGTTCTACTGTAGTGCAGCAGCGTTGGACCGTGTTGTCGAGGGGCTGCTGCTCAAAACGCCCGCAGCCTCGGGCTCAGACTCTGGACTGGGCTGTGGTTGTCAGGACTTTGTTTTGCCACTTCTATATCGTTTAACAATACG